AGACAAATGCAATTTTCTGCCTAAGTAACAGGCTGAGTTTTCTCCCCTGATGCCCATTTGTTTCTTAAATAAGATTTGTGGTGATTGCCAGCTCCCACCTGCTTTTTCTCTGCCCCGAGTGGTCACATCTGCAGTTCTCCCTGATTGCATTAGTGGCTTGGCCAACAGACAGTGGGGTAGGATGGCACCAGAGGCATTTTTTCCTAGAAAGAAGCTGGTGCTGGAGTGAGTGGAGATGGCGTTTTCTGTCGGGAAGCTGGGTCTGGCCCCCCGTCCAGCCAGCCCTGAGGGCGGTGTTAGCCAGCACTAGAGGGACTGGGGAGAGCACTCTCCTGTGTGTTGGGAGGCCTGGATCTGCCAGTGAATGCTGGCCTCGGGCTAGCAATTGCGGCTAGGTGCACTAGGGTTGCCTATACCTCTTTTGCAGCTCTCTGGCAGGTCTGCTCCTGCTCACACTTGGAAATGCAGGCTGAAGCCCTCCACAGCCCCTCCCCAGACTCCTGCCTCTGACCAGCTGGAGAGGGCTGTCAGGGGGATGCACCCGGCGTGGCTTCATTGGCGTATTTGCAGGCTTGGCGGGCAGGGCATGGGTGGGAACAGCCTTGAAAGGGGTGTAGGCACATCCAGGGTCTCCTACCAGACCGGGGTTGCAATGCTCACCTCTTTCCTCCAGCACCTGGTGTGAGGGACCTGGGCTCCCTCTCTCAACATCTCAGGGTGGGATTCACCTGAGCCAGCTCGCTGAGCTCAGCTGTGTCCCCGGAGCTTGATCACTAGAAGCAGGCCCTTCAGTCCATTTGGGATCCAGGGCATGGAGCCCTTTCCCCACTCCTAGAGACCTGAGCAGGGCTTGCTCTTTCTGTCATAACTCAGGCGAGAAGAAGGAGAGGCCGGGTCCTTGTCTGGGACCTGGCTCTTCGCCTCCCAGTGCTGGAGGTGCGCTTTGCACTAGGAGGGTGGTAGCATTGCACGGCCTCACCCGAGTGTTGGGAGGGGAAATGCCAGATTCGGGTTTCCATTCTGGCGATATGATGCCCCACGACCAGCTCCTTCTAGGATGCCGAGGGAAGCCCCCGGGCATGGTTGTGTCTTGGCATTAAGGAGCTTGGACAGGAATGATCACCACTAGTTGAATGAATTTGGGTGCTGGTTGCAACCAGAGCTGGGGATTTGGACTTGGGGGTGCCAGTGCTCCTTCTTGTACTTCATGCTGGAGGTTTCTGGTTAAAGGGTCTTGCCCCTCTGTTCAGGGTCAGACTGATCACCCCATGGTCAGACTGGTAGGGACTGTGGCGGGTTTGCCTTCCTCTGCAGCAAGGGTTGTGCCTTTCTACCTGGGATCTCGAGAGCACCCTTTATAGAGGTAGGACGTTGTCTGCCATGGCTCCCCTGCTTTACCTGTGGCAGGTTAGGGCACTATACCTTGTGCTGTGTCAGGGTTGATAGTAGTTTTACCAAGAGTTTAGACGATGGACGTGTATAGGATGGTTTGGACAGGGCTGATCCTGCCTCTGGAGGAGATGACCGCTGGAGGCCCCTTCCAGCCCCACTTCTCTAGGAGACCCCCAGGGTTAGGCCCGTCCTGCTGCCCATGCACAACCAGAGCCAGGTGTGTTGGATCTGGATGAAACAGGGAACTGATGGCTTTTGCTGAGGGGGTTTTCACCTCCGAGGGGAGACTTTTGGGTGGGTCCAGTTGGTAGTGAATAAATATTGCTGCCTTCTGAGGGTCCAGGACTGGCCGAGGTGCAACAAGCACCACGTTTGGGCAGGTTCACGTCCCCGCTGCCCATCCCTGTGAGCTCAGCAGAGAGGCTGGGATCTGAATGGACTTGTTCCCCCTGGAAGTGGTCTCTAGCAATTCTCGGGGTATGGGATTTTCACTGTCACTGTTCGGCTGCACCTTTGCTTTGAGATAAGTAGGAAGGTAAGCTCATGTCTCCAGGGCTGTCAATGCAGCCCTTTCCACTGAAGAGGCTTGTGTTGGCATAATGGTCAGGCAGCGGTCTAGGGGGTTATGCTGGTGCTTTTCCCTGGTGCTAACAGGCTTGGACTCTGGGTCTGGCTCCCGTAGGGTTGCCCATCGGCACGTGAACTAGGGCAGGTCTATGGTGGCTTCCCACCCCTTACACACCTCTGGAGAGAAGGGTGAGCAGCCTGCTTCTGAGAAGTAAAGGCATTTGAAAGTGTGGACACATGGTACGTTGATACTGGTGTAGCTTAAACTGGTTTGTGCCAAGGTAGCTGCCCACAGGAGGTGCCGTGAGTGCCCCTTGCCGAGAGGTAGCAAGAGATTTGTGTGCCCTAAGCCAATGGTTCCCTCGGAGGTGAAAACGAGGTGGCAGACATGCCACATCCCCCGCTACAATTTATTCCTGCCTCTCTGAGTGGAGACTTTACCCCAGGGTGAGGTGACTTCTATTGGTGCAGGGTTGTGCACCGTGCGTATGCACTCCACATGCACACCAGTGTAAAGGCATCTTTTCCCAGTGCAAATCTGCATCCGTATCCTGAGAAGGGCATGCATCACTTGGAGCACGGCACAAGAGCCTGGGAAGTCAGCTGAAAGACTCCCCTTGACTTCCCTAGGCCGTGAATCAAGTCACAGCCCAATAAATAGCAGCTTGGGCCAAATACAGAGGCTTGGATTCAGATAGGTACACAGAGAAATGCCCATTTGCAAAATGACTGCTAATTTCTTAGGGGTTTTCCCTGTGTAAGGACAGTATGAAGGGCTCAGGATCCGGTTGGTTTTGACCATAATCTGATCCGTTTGAGTGAATGATTTATGAATAAGAAAAATCGGGAAGGACTGTCTGGCGTGGGACAGGGCTGGGATGAGTATTTCTGAAGAGCACAAGGCCACTGGGAGCAAGGCTAGCGTAACGTCATGGATGTACAATATTGAGATGTGAGCTCCGTTTTGCTGGAGAGCCATAGCTCTGTCATCTCGGCAAGTCTTGGCCGTCTGGGCCCACAGACCTACCTGAATCCTGGCAGGCTTGGATGGACTAGGCTCGCTCCTCAGCTGGGGCCCATAGAGATGCTCGCGGTTGGTACCTGAGGGTCTGCACTGCTGTTTCCCGTCATCTGGTGCAGTTTGAGTGTGAAAATAACTCTGTTAAAATGACATCCTGGGGCTCCATGTCCATTGGGTCCCAGCAATGCTAAATTTGCTTGGGGGACAAATAAAAAGATGTTGTTTTTTTTCCCCTGCCTTCTCCTTATTGCCTGTGCCTCGACCTAGGATCTGAGGATGAAGCAGGGCTCTTTCTTTCTCGTGCATTATTACCAGCACCAATTATCAAGACTTTTCAGAGCATATTAGGCGAGCGAGAACAAAGCATTCCCTTTCTCTGCCAGTTATGCCCTTTGCACATCCCTATTGCTGTTAACTTTGCAAGACAGTAGTATCAGGACTCAGGGTGGTATATCTGGGTAATCGTTTGTGTTGTTTCATGCATATACCACTTAATTGCTTTGCAAGCAGGTCCAAGCTGCTGAATTGGTTGGGACAGGGAGGGGGTTGGATTGATGGAGGTCCCTTCCTGCCCTACTTTTCTGGGATTGTGGATCTGAGATTCTGTGAATTCACAGGACAATGAATGGCTTTAAAGAGGACTTCTGCAGAAAGGTTGACGGCATTGAGTTCCCGCTGTGCTTTCCAAATCGAATGACCGCAAAGCAGTCGCTCATCCACTCGGTGCTGGCTAGGGAGATCAGCGCGCCCCGATGCAAGGGAAATGCCTCTAAGGAACAGGCCGTGTCGGGGTTATCTCCTACCTGTTCCCCGTTGCCTTTCATTGAGCAGTCTCAGTGCAATGCTGCTGTGGGCTGCGGTGTGTTTGCCATTGCATATTCATCAAAGAAACCCGGGGTTGGATGCATCATCCGGTCCAACCCCCCCATGAATGCTGGAAGGCTACTCCTGAAATCTTGCCTCCTGAGTACGTGTGCAGATGCCGAGCGCTGTCTTTGCAAACCTTTGATGCAAGCGAGACATTTCTACCATGCTCTGTGACTTGCTGAGCAGCTGGAAGGGGCTGGGGCAGTGCAGGCCAGATCGGGGGAGAACAGCACAGCGATGGCTTTTGTACCCTGAGGCCAACTGGATCCTGCTCCCATCCCTTCCCCGTTAGCAGAGAGAGATTTGTCCGTCACAGGACTGATTGGCCAGGCAATGCAATTTTCCATTGCCTTCCAGCGGGCTTGTCTGGTTGGTCTCAGAGAGCCCCTAATTCACTTTGCCCTTTTCTGCTGTAATGAAGTCCCTGGTCTATCACCAAACTGGGGATGGTGCCTGTACCCATTTCACATCCAAAGCTCCCGCTGATCTGAAAAGGGGGGTTTGGTCCTTACTGAGCTGCTGGCTAGAGAGGATGAGATCCTGAGAGTCTCAGGTTTGGGTAGGGTGTTGACTGGATGCAGCGTCCTGCTATTTGCTTTTGAGCCGGGAGGAAGGAGTATGGACAAATTACAATCCAGGGGCAGGACAGAAGCAACCGGGGCCGGGGCCTGGAAGGGGGAGTTCGAGCAGCAGAGGGGAGAGGGCAAAACAAGACCAATGCCCCTGCCCGCCCATGTGGTCGTGTCTGCAATGCAGGGTGAATGAAATGCCATCCTCGCGCTCGCACGTAGACCACGTTAACACGGTGCGAGGCACTGTTTCTATGCTTTCGCCAGTCTACAAGGGAGGTGTATGGGTCTCCTGCTACAGCTGCCTGCAAGGGAGCTACCCCCTTAGTGTGTTGTCCATCTCCCCTTCTTCAGCTGCTTCGGATTTGGGGTTGGTGCCTGTGTTTGAAGGGCTTGTGAGAGCCACGGGGTCCGGGAGCCGCCCTAATAATTCCCTTTTATCTTCAGCACGGACTCTTGGCTTGCAGAAAGCCCCAGCCCCAGGATCTGTCCCTGCCCAGCTCAGGCCGAACCCCCGGGAAGTAAAAAAAAGAAAAGAAAAAGAAAGTAAAATTAAAAAAAAAAGAATTGGAAACTCGAGAAACGGCAACTTTAATTGGGGCCTGCGTGATGTGAAGCAAACATCCTGCTCCCCTGCGGGGAAACCTCCGTCTTGCCTCCTCCGGGCATGGGCTTCAGCAGGGAGCACGGGGGGCTTGGAGGACAGGAGAAGTGAGAGGGAAAAGAGAGAGAGAGAGAAAGAGAGAGAGAGAGAGAGATGGATGTCGTGTAGCTTTACGGGTCAAAAATATACAGCGCTCATGTAGTACCCAGTGGGCAGTCCCATGTGGGCGGCTTGGAGCGGGCTGAGGCCGGGGGCTTGCAACCGCTCTCCCCAGCCCAGCCAGCCCCTCACCCCCGAGTTCACTCCCGTCCTGCCCCTCGCTCACTTCCTCCGCCCGATCTGAGCCATCAGGTGAGCATTGGCAGCGGCCTTCGCCCTCAAGTTCTTGGCCTTGGCAATGTTGAAGAGGATGTTCATGATGTTGGTGGGGACGTCGAGGGAGAGGGTGAACTTGGTGCGCCGGTCGCTCCGGGCCTGGTTCTGGTACATCTTGCCTTTGACCTGTGCCTGGGAGAGGTATTTATACCGGGCATCCTCTGGGAAAGTCCTTTTCTCCTTGTCCACCTCCTCCTCCTCCTCTTCCTCCTCGGAGGATGGCACCTCTCCCGGCAGGTAGTCGAAGCTCCTCTTGTCCAGCAGCGAGTTCTCATCCGCGGGGCTCTTCTTGGCCTCCGAGAGGGCGGCGTTGATGCAGCTGAAGATGGACTCGGCTTTGTACAGCTTGAGGGACAGGCCTGTCCTGGCCGCGCAGAGGATCAGGAGGAGCAGCAGGAGCTTGTCCTGAGACATGGTTCCACCCTGGATGGCAGGAGAGGGACACAGCGGGGTGAGGGTGGCAGACACTTCGGTACGTGGTCTTATGCATACAAGCAAAGCAGCATGGGGTGGCGGGGGAGAAGGGAAGGGACTGACCCGGCTACCCACACCTTGGCTGGGATGATGTAGCTGGGGCTGGTCCTGCTTGGAGCAGGGGGTTGGACTCGATGTGCCCTCCCGAGGTCTTTTCCAGCCCTTTTCTATGATTGGGAGTCAGGACTCCTGGGTTTGCTCTGAGACTTGAGGCAAATCACTGAGACCTGCATGTTAAAAAGAGGCCTCTAGGTCTGTGGGCAACATAGGGGCAGCTTATCATCACTGACATGCAGCTGCCTCTGGGGTGGGATGCACTCGCCACCAGCCAGCTCCCGTGGTGGTACTTGGGACCCTGCTGTAGGACACGGTAGGGAGCAAGAGGCACAAGCCTTTGTCACAACACATCCCTGTGTCTGGCTGGGGATGCTCACGGGGTGCCATGCGGTGTCGTGCCACCCCCTGCTTGGCAATCGATGGGGAAGAGATCAGCGTGAGATGCAGCAGATCTTGGGCTCGTATCGTGGCCTGGAAGCAAGGTGGGCTCCCAGTTATGGGAGGGGAGGGCGACCTAAAATAGACCTTCCCACCGGTACCCGCAATCGGCCTAGAAATCCCACTGTCACAACTGATGTCCTCTCACGTAGCCTCTTTCGACCGCCTGCAGAGGCTGAGACAACACAAACTCAAGGGTAGCGAGAGAGGTTGCCAAACGAAGCGGGATGTGATGCACGTTGCCCGTTGTCCCACCCGATGAAGCCACGAGACAACGGGCAACGTTCGCCCAGGATTGGAGGGACCGAATCCTGCCTGAGACTCCTGGAGCGTGTGGGATCAGGCCTCTGAAGCCCCCAAAGCACTTTGCTGGGGCGGATGGAGAGTCCAGGTAGCTCCAGGCCTGCTCTCTAATGCCACGAAGTCAACAGCCATTTACTGCTAAAGAGCAGCACAAATCAATGCCACCTTCATCTCAGCCACAACTTCTCATTTGATGAAGGGCGTGCAAATCTGTTTGCTTGGCCTTGATCCCACTGCAAAAATGGCAACACAAAGGTGATGAAAGGCAACGACTCTTTCCATCCTAACCAGTTTCCCTTTGCTGCTTCCTGCCTCAGTTTCTCCACCTGTAAAATGGGCACAATAATATGGATTTTTTTTTTCCCCCCTCTCCCACACCTCTGCCCCAGCAAAGCCCCTTGAGATCTACTGACTTAACCCAGGATTCTGTCAGATGGGAGTGTGAGACATTTTTAAGTGTGAACACGGGGCTGATTTCTATTCCACCCATTAGGCAATTAAAGTGAATGTCAGTGCCTGAGTGTGATTCTGTTCCAACCTGTCTGAGCCCCTGCAATTGTGCAAATGCACCTATTTCTGGACCACGATATTGCCTCGGCAGCCTTTAGGCAATGTCACCAAATGTAACGGGGAAGAAGAAGAACCACCCCCCTCCTGCGTTAACAGGCTTTCAGGGACTTGAGTGGGGAGGAGGAGGATCACACCTAGGTGCCTAAATCCACTCGGGGGGAATAGACTCTGGGCTCGCAGTGCGATGTCCTTTGAGATGCATTTGCATTTCCCGCTCTAGGATGCTCTTTCCCATGCAGCCAGCTGGACAGCCCTGGGCATCACCGAACCCCGAGCTTTCATTCATGCCCTGTGAGCAGTTGAGCAGTGGACGGGATACAGCGCTGGGGCTCTATAGAGGCCTGGGTTTTAGTCTCAGGCCTCCTGGAGGACCTTGGGCAAATGCCTTTGGCCCAGCTCCTTTCTGCTGCCCAACTCCCACTGATTACAGTGGAGGGAGGGGAGGGGGGTCAGGTCTGAAACAAGCCCTTTGCCTCACCCTGCCTCAGTTCCTCCACCTGTAAAATGGGCACAATGATACTGATTTCCTCAGCAAAACCCTTTGAGATCTCCTGAGAAACTCCTTGCTTTTAATCTGCTCCAGCTACTCCGCAGCCCGGTCACCCCATGGCACTACACTCAGTCTCAGAGCAGCCACGGCCGTCTTTTCCCAGCTCTTTTCTTTGGCCTAACGTCTGCATACTCGACAGTGACACAAAACAGAAGGCTCCAGGCTGAATGTAAGTGCTGCGGCCATCCCGCGTGCTCCTTTTTGTGGTCTTCTGGCTCTTCCTAGTGGGCTTTACAGTGCACTGCAAACTAAGCAATAACCCCTGAGGCCCTTCCAGCCCGGTGGGAGGTGGAAACCCGTATAGAGTAAATGGAGCCTTTGCTGTTGGTTCTCGACAGAGCTCACACAGAGGCTTGCTAGAGGGGCAGGTGTATGTCAACACCAAGCTCACGACATGAATGCTCCTCGACTATAAAATCTCCTGGAGTTTGTCAGTCTGGAGCCGTCCGTCTGTCCCCAGAGAAGCCCAAGTGGGGGTCTCGCCCGGCAGGGGCCAGTGCGTTGGGACCAGGCTCAAGGCATTGCTAACCCTACGGTCACTGGGGGCTGGGAGGGAGGACGGGTCACTCTACACATACAATTGTATAAAATGAGGGTTGGAAAGTTGCTTAGAAGCAACCCACATCTAGTGCAACCCCCTGCTCCAAGCAGGACCAGCCCCAACTCCATCATCCCAGCCAAGGCTTTGTCTAGCTGGGTCTTCAAAACCGAGGATGGAGAGCCCACCACCTCTCTGGGTGACCTGCTCCAGGATTTTACTACCCTCCTTGTGATAAAGTTTTTCCTAATATCCAACCTCAACTTCCCTTACTGCAACGTGAGCCCATTGCTCCTTCTTCTGTCGTCTGCCCCCATGGAGAACAGCCCAGCTCCATCTTCTTTGCAACCACCATTCAGGGAGTTGAAGGCTGCTATTAAATCCCCCTCGGTCTTCTTTTCTGCAGACTAAATCAGCCCAGTTCCCCCAGTCTCATCTCACCAGTCCTGTCCCCCAGCCCCGCAAACATTTTCATTGCCCTCCGCCGGGCTCTCTCCAACATGCCCTGCTGCCTGCGTGCGTCTGCTCCTTGCTGGGTGGGAGCAGGGCGCTGGGCTGGGCTGGGTGGAGCTGCTGATGAATCCCGGAGCTGGAGGCCCTGCAGCGAGTGCAAAGCTGCGTGCAGCTCGAGCAGAACCGCAGGGGACGGCAGGGTGGGGAGGCTGGACAGAGGCCTGTTGCAGCCGCAAGACCTGGGATTGAGGCTCCCATCTTCTCTGCAAACTTCCCTGTCTCAGTGCGCCGGGGTCCCTCGCAGCCAGGCCTCCCCCGACAGGACCCCAGGAAAACGGGTCATGTCTCAGGGAGATGCATAGGGTCACCCCAAGAAGTGAGCTTTGGATGAGGCTCTTCAGTGGGGTGGAGGTCGGGGTCCCTCTGCCAGCCACTGAGGGGTGATGGAGGAGCTCATAAGCCAGCTAATGCGTGTGTGTGTGTGTGTGTGTGTGTGTGTGTGTGGAAGGGGGGAGGAGAAAGGACCTAATTACTAATTAGCTCCCTAGGGCTGTGTGGGGTGGGGTGGACCTGGCACAGGGGCGAGCTGGGACCCTCGTGGCCCCCAGGAAACCTACAGGGACGGAGCGTGGACACTGACCTGAGAGCTGCTCTCCTCGGATCCCCCCTGGCAGAGCGGAGAAAGCACCTGGCTGGAGTCCCTCTTCTCCCCCCATCTTACATACCTCCCGGGACTGCACCCTGCTTGTGCATCTTGGGGGTGCATCACTGATCTCCGCTCCCCATGCATATGAGGGGGTCAGCAGAAGGAGGCAGCATCCCCCCGTTCAAGCCAGCTGCTTGCTTCTATCTCAAGTTTGTGCCCCCCCCACCATACAAGCAACTTCTCTGAAGAGAAACCAAAGCATCAGGGCCTGATGTGAGCCTTGGACTTTGTGCCATCGAGCCCCAGGACCTGTAGCTGCACTTGCAAAACAAACCACAGCCCCTCTCCCCTAGCGGCCATCACCTTAACTCTGCCCCTGCAGGGTTGCAACGGATGCCTGTAACGTCTGGGACAGAAGTTTCATAAATCGGTTTGACCTCAGTCAGTGAAGTCTGATACGACATTCAGCCAGGTTTATCTTAAACTGGTTTCGACCATTTTGAAACTGGTGTATGCGCACTGAACTTCTGTTCCGTTCCAGGTTTAAATCAGTTTCTGATCGCTTAGACCGGGTTGATTGTAACTTCTGTCCCTTGCCTGTCAGGGGTGTTGCAGCACGTCCCTGTTGTACGCGGGCTGACGGAGCCCGGAAGATCAGCTGCACCTCTTTTAAATGGGGGACGTCATCTGAGAGCGGGACCAAGTCCTGGCTTTGATTTGTGGCCCCACACCCAGAATCACTCTGCACCTCGTTATAATGCTCCAGAGGAGCGGGGCTCCGGGGGGAGCCT